CCGGGGGGTTAGTCTAAGAGTTGATCTCCTATTTGTATTTAGGTAATGGTGTTATCCCGCCATCTGCAATTGGCAAATGCTGTGTTGAGGTCACCGAATTTAAGCCATTTGACCCTAGAGCGTTGATACCAGAAAACCTCCTCCTTACAAAGGAGCTATTATGGTTCATTTTTTGCTAAAACTCTAAGGTCTCCTTTGGCATGGATCAATGGGCGATTCTCTTCAATGAGATCCCTCTTTGGATGCGATAGATCTAGGTCACTTCCTGGGATCAAAAATTACCCGAAAGTTGTCAGCTCTAAATGCCAAGAGAACTATTGAGAAGTTGAAGCTTTTCTTGTTGACAGAAACCAGCTCAACCAATGGTCTAGGGAGAGAGAGGTCCAGCAACAAGGGATGAGGGATCGAATATTTAGCTCTTCAAGCCAAGATAGTTCAAAATTGAAGGGTTTGGGCCCTTGGTGTCAAGAAGAAGAATGACTTCACGATCAGAAATGAGTCTAATAAGGGAAGAAGCATGGGAGGTTGGAAAACTATCATCCCATTAAAGGCTGGTACGGTATCTGTCTATATTTGAGAGGGACGGGTTGGAGGAGTTGTTTAACCAGGTAAAGTTTGCTCCTTGAAGAGGTAGATCGATGAGATTAGTCCATGAACAAAATTAGAGAAGTCAAGTATGGACAGAGTAACTCTAGGGTTAACATTCTGCACAAAGGACCATCATGTGACATTGGAGTCGCTACGATGCACAAGGGCAAAGGAGGAAGAGGAGGAGGGCAAGGGGCGGGTTTGGCATATCAGCCAAATGGTGGTCGCATCAATGCCATAGACAGCCACAAATTTCCAGGTAGGCCATCGGATTGCCTAGTAAGGGCCACTGAAACTGAGAAAGTCATGACAAAAAAAAGAGAGACAAGTCCCAGACCACCCATATGCCACCAGAAGCTCTATTTTCCTCCAAGGAATCCCATTGGCAAGGTTTGAGGCCAAATTTGGCATATCAGCCAGATGGCGGGGGTAAGGCATTTTGGTTTCAACTAGGGCAAGAATGTATGGCCAAAGTTGGACGAAGAAAGCTCAGACAAACTTCTGCTTGTCGGGATTTCTACTTCACTTTTCCACTTTTTTTATTACATAGGTTTTACATTTACCTTTCGAGCATAACCAGGTCGCTTTGTGCTAGGTGTGTGAGCAATTGGGTTTTTGAAATACCGGCATCACAGTAACCACCCCACCCCAACCCCCCACCCAAAAAAAAAACCCTCTATATTTCACTATGACAACTCTATAATCCCTTTATTCCTCTCTAGAACAATCCTTTGTCCTATCTACTCAGTCTCTTCTTGCTTTCCTCTTTACAATTTTCTTCTCTCCCCCACCCTCCCAATCCCCAGCACAAAACTTACTTAAAATACTCCATCTCTATCTCCAACTACCTCTCCTTTAACTACTCACTCTGGTCTCAATTACCTTTTCCCCATAAGTAACTTCTTTTCTATCGTTACTTATCCTCTCCTATTCTCTCTTCATTATCTCCTTCTCTAGCCCCTGCACCTTCTTTGTTCCGCTTCTTCCTCGCTGCTTAATTTAACATCTCCCTCTCTACTCACAGGCATCAGGACCAGTGCTTGAACGCTGGATTTGTGGGCTGCCAATCACTTATTTTATGTTAATACCAAAGCATTTTTTATATGGAGCACCCGGCTTGTGGGTTGTCTTAAACTCACTTCTCATGGGGCTTGTGTACTCTATCACCAAGACTATCAAAAAAACATTGTATCATATTGACATCAAGGGCCAGAAGCTCACTTTCCAAACCTGCAGACATATCCAACCTCCTTGTACTCTACATCTGCCACCTATTAAAGTTTCATATTTAGTCTTAAATACATCTAAGGACTGGATATCCTAACCTATTTACTCACCCTACTAAGTTGAAGCAATAAGTGACTAAAGAGCAATGCTTAAATAAAGAACCCAAGCCACCAACCACACACAGATAAATACCACTTATGTATTTCATCACATGTTTCTTGTTCTTTAGTACTTCTCCATGCCAAATCATTTTTTTTTGTTTAATGTAGAGTCAAATTGATAATGAGAATGAATGAAACCAATCAATGCTAATTCATAACACTACTGTAGTTGTCGGAGGAGGGATCGGGTTCGGGGAGTGGGATTGGTTCGGGGAACACCGAATCGCCATAGGGTGGAAGCTCTTGGGGTTAGGATCCGCATCCATAGATTCAACAAGTTATCATCATACACCTTAGTTTAATACCAAGGCCATAGTTCTACTAATCCAATTTAAAACATTAACACAATTTAATAACAACATAAATTGGCTTACTATAATATTAAATTGTGGTTTTTAAATACCATAATTCTACTATACCACGATGCGATATGCACCCCAGTTTAACATATTCTAAAGAAATAAATCTATAATACAAAGGAGAAGACCACTAGTTCAATTAATAGTGTAGCTTCTCTCCTTGGAGGGATCCTGCAAACATGTACATACCCTAAGATCCCATTTTATAGGGAGCAAGATCCTTATTTCTCTAACCCAGCTGCAGCATAGAGTTCCTAAGTTGGGACCATAACCTTACCCCCAAGGTTTCCGAAATTATGATCAGTACCATTCTAATCTATGTAAAATCTAGATAGCATCCAATAAGGTCATCTTGAATTTGGCCATTCTATAGATATTTTATTAGTTCACTTAGCAACCTTGAATTGGCAACTAACTAGGAGATCAAAAGTGCTAAAAACTCAAAGCCCACGTTACAGCTTAAATCCAGAACCTCCTGAGAATCAATCCAATCTTATGCTTCCAAATTAAGGACATGGAAGAATTATGTAGTTTTTCAAAAAGGAAATGATAACAGAAAAACACTTCATGAAATTACAACACATGAGGTAAGTGAACAAAACGAAATGATGAAATCATTCAATAAAATAAAAAAGAAGCTACATCACACCCATAAAATGGCAATGATAAATATAATCATGTGGACATCGCAAAGAAGATTTTGCATAATTATAACAATCAAGAACCATATAAGAAACGAGGCCTTGACAGTAAATGAAGTTCTGCCACCACCCTAAATCAAAGTTACTATAAGGAATATCCAGACCAATTATCAAAAGAATAATACAACACCAACAACAAGTCATCCATACGAATTATCAAAACAAAACAGCAGCAGAAGCAACAATAATAATGCTAAAACCACGAATACTATAACCTTACATTCATCACATGCATTACATGATGAAAAAGCCACATGCATGGAACCAAAATCATTAAACAAGATCAAGGAAGCATAGAAATATGGACATCTAGAAAACTAAAATTACAGTGATGTGATACTCCCTAAGCTATCAGAAACTAATCAAGGAAGCATAGAAATATGGATATCTAGAAAACTAAAATTACAGTGATGTGATACTCCCTAAGCTATCAGAAACTTCAAGAGTATTCTATGATCATAACAGCAATCTAGTAAGCCTACACGGTCAGGAATCTCAAAACAGCAAATGGATTTTTGCATATGGAAACCCTATTACAAACAGAGGTCAGCCCCCAGCTGCATCAGCTGAAAGGACCTGAAGGCAAGGAGAATCACATGGGCCTCGATCACCTGAGAACATTGATTACAACACTACAGGTCGTCAGAAAGGCGTCCTAGATTAAAAAATGCACCTCCCATGCAACATAATTACGAAAAGTGCCCTAGTTACTGTTCTGCCTCTTTTTTATTTTCTTTTATTTTTCTTTCTTTCTTCTCACTGTAAATCCTGACTGTAGGGCAAATCTTATATGGGACGGCTGTATTTTTTACTGATCACCACCCTGTGAAGGTGCTTTCAGTCCTACACTTTTTGTAATCTCGGACTCTCTTTAGTAATACAATGTTAACAATTCTTAAAAAACAGAAAAAAAGAAAAGGCATATTTCACAGCCAAGTTATATACAACCATGCTTAGTTGAGTGGAAGAAAATGAATTTCAAAACCATAGTTGAAAAGTAACAGTAAGTATTACAACCTTGTTCTGAAATCTTGGAAGTCTCAACAGCCAGGAAACTTTCGCAAGCAAAAGGCATCGCTGCTCCATGCGATCAACGAGTTCGACATGGTGGAGGAGGCAGGGCCTCTGCTACCTTCTAAACTTGAGTCTCAGGCCAAGGCTAAGTCCAACTACCAGTCCACTCTTCGTAAAGAAGAGACATACTGGTCCCAGAGAGTTCAGGTTAAGTGGCTGAAGTTGGGGACCTTAACACCGGCTATTTTCACAAGATAGCGAATTGTAGAAGATGGCAGAATTCGATCACCGATCTCAAAATTGGGGATTTCAGTCATTGATCGTCCAACCCTCAACGGGCAGGCTGCTGTTGCTTTCTTCTCTAATCTCTTCACCTCTTCCTCTGGTCCTATACCCATAATTGATGACCTTGTCTTTCGCACCTTGCTGCCGGAGATAGAAGGTTAGAACGGCCTTTTTCAGAAGTGGAAATCATCGAGACTCTAAATGACATAAGCTATCACCGAGCCCCAGGCCCGTATGGATATCCCATGGCTTTTTTCAAAAACTTTTGGGAGGTAATTCGTCTAGATGTTATTGAATTCTTTGCTGAATTCGACTCTCGTGGGGTAGTTTGCAAAGCTATGAATGCAACCTTCATAGCTCTTATTCAAAAAATTGACGGGGCAGAAGAACTGAAAGACTTTAGGCCCATAAGTTTGGTCAATTGATCTTACAAATTATTGTCCAAAGTTCTGTCTTCCAGATTAAAAGTAGTCCTACCCTCTGTCATTTCTCCAACCCAAAGGCCTTATGTGAAGGACCGTCAGATTTTGGATGGGGCTCTCATTGCCCATGAATGTATACATTCCCACTCCTTAACTAAGTCCCCAGGTTTAGTCATTAAATTAGACTGGGAGAAAGCTTATGACCATGTTGACTGGTTAATCCTTGATGAAACCCTTTGAAGGATGGCATTCGGGGTCAAGTGGAGAAGCTGGATCCCTGGGTGCATATCCAACCCTATTTTCTCAATCCTCATCAATGGCTCGCCTAAGGGTTTCTTCCTAGCTAGTAGAGGTCTTCGCCAAGGTGACCCGCTGTGGCCTTTCTTGTTTGCAATAACGGCTGAGGTCTTCAGTAACTCAATATCGAGAGTTTATCTAGCTGGTCTCTTGAGTGGGTTTTGCTCGAGTAACCATGGCCCATTTGTCTCTCATCTGCAGTACACGGATAACACCCTCGTCTTCTACAACTCCTCTATATCCCATGCTGATACTCTTCGGGTGTTCCCAAAATGCCTCGTGATGGCTACTGGGTTCACGGCCAACCAAGCCAAATCTAAAATGAAGGAAGTGTGCACTGACCCGTTGTTGGTCCAGTTTCTTACCAATAGATGGGGTTGTTCTATAGAGCAATTACCGTCCACTTACCTCAGATTTCCACTATGCCTTGGCCTGCCTCAACTTTCTCAATGGAATCATAATCTCGATAAGTTTGATAGGAGGTTCGAGGGTTGGACAAGCAGATTCCTATCTAAGGAGGGAAGGCTCACTCTAATCAAAGCCACCCTTGTCAATACTCCAGTGTTTCAGATGTCTCTCTTTCTCATCCTGGCCTTGATGGCTAATGGATGGGAGAATTCAATGAGGAATATCTCTTGGTCGGGGGAGCATGGACATAAGTTTCATCTCATCTCTTGGAATAAACTATGTCTTCCAAAATCCCAAGGGGATTTGGATATTCGAAGCCTCAGAAACCATAACAATGCCCTCTTGGGCCAATGGTGGTGGAGGTTCACCACCCAACCTGGCTACCTATGGACGGAGGTCATAAGATCAGTCATTGGAATGCAAAACCAGTGCGCAGATCTCGGGATTCTAGAGGTATGCCCTTCGAACTCGTGATATTTTCCTTAATCATATCCGCTTTCGCCCTAGGGAGGGGACTAGGGTGAAGTTTTGGACCTACACCTGAACTGGCCATTCCCCTCTTAAAAGATCAGCCCCCCAACCTCTTTCACTTAGCTCAAGACAGCCAGTCCTTGGTGGCCGACAACTTCAGTATCACAGGATCCCTCAGAACTTGGAAGCCTAATTTTAAGAGATCTAGAAGACCTTTGTTCTTTCAATCGGTCTTCCTTCATCCTTCCGAAAGGACAGGATTATTTGGACCCCCTCGGCCTCGGGTTTATTTTTGGTAGCCTCGTTCTTTGATACTCTCTTTGCTCTCTCCATCCCCTCTGGCCCCAATCCTGCCATGGTCTCCAAGGTATGGAATCCCTTTATTCCACCTAGCATCCAGGTGTTCTACTGGATTGCGTTGTATGAGAGATTATTGACTGTGAATCAGCTCCAAAGGATAGGCTTGCAACTTCCAAAGAGGTGCAACCTGTGTCTGATGGATGAGGAGTCGAATGCTCACCTTTTTCTCCACTGTGACTCTCTAGAGCAGTGTGGAGATCCACTCTGAGTTTGTTCGACTGGGTATGGGTCATGGGAGTAATATTACCCATTTGTTTCAAGCCTCTCTTTCCACACCATGGCCCAAAGCAGGTAGACTTCCTTGGAAACCTGAACTCTCAGCCCCCATTTGGGTACTGGGGAGCGAAAGACGCCATAGAATCTTCCAGGGCGTGAGATCATCGGTCGAACAGTTGGCAGAGAAAGTAAGGAACCTCATGGCTTCCTGGGCCACCAATCACAATCTATTCAAGTTTTCTTCTTTTATTGATTTTCACAGCAAATGGTCCGACTTACTGCTCCTAGCCAATCCTAGAATCTCGAGGGCCTCGTTGTGGAGACCACCCGAATCGGGAAAATTCAAGCCTAACTTTGATGTTTGCTATCTTGGCAACCCTAGACCCTCTGGAATAGGGGGGCTATTTCATCCTAGCGATGGTAGTATCCTGCTGTCATACATGAGGCCCATTGGAATTGCAGACTCCAATCTTGCTGAGGCCCTTGCCTTTTTGGCGGGCCTTCGCAAGTTTGATCATACCTGGAGTCACAACCTTGTGGGGGTAGGTGACGCCAAGAATATCATCTGCTGGGCATCTAATCCCTCATCATGGCCATGGCATCTCGACAACATTTTTGACAAGTTCCTACATTTATCTAGTAGCTACAGTATTTCCCAGCGCCACGCCTACAGAGAAGCTAACTCAAAAGCTGACAGACTGGCTAAAGAAAGGGCCTCCCTCAAAACCCTTTCAGACACCTAGGCTTCCGTGCCAATCGTCTGTCTTCTCCCTTTCCCTCCCATTCTTGGTTCTTGTCTAGTAGATTTTAGACCCTTCCGGGCTTGTACAACATGACCACTTTGGTCACCTCCATTTTGTACATTTTACAATTAAATAATAAAATTATAGTGAATTTCTCTCAAAAAAAAAAGAAAAACAAGCAGTACAAATTGAATAAGAAGAGTTAGCAGATAACATTTCTGCATAATTTCTATCACCAAAAGTGAGCAATAAAAAGAACATAAAATTCACACTTTAAGCAGTGAGGAACTGACTGATCTGCTAACAGAAGTCACATTCCTAAAAGAAGGAAACCTGCAGAGGCTATAACATATTCCAATGAAGGATAAAACTAATCTAGACAAAATTATCATTCAACTACACAATGACAAAGAAACCAGTTTAGCTCATTAGATACTTCCGAAAAAGAAATAATTTCAACTCAACAGATATACATCATGCCATCCCTTGAACATCTCCCATCATGAATGACGAAATACAAAATCTGAATGCCAGAAGCTTCGAGCTTAGCAGCACATATTAACAAGAGAATTCCATCAGCAACTCGGGCAAAGAAACGTGGGCATTAGGAGTTGAACTTCATTGAGGAACACTAGTATGCACATATAAATTGTTGCTATATGGTTTGAAGCATGTGATTCATGAAGTGAAAATATATCCTGTCAAATAAACAGATTCAGCGTAATCCTTGCAACTGTAAAAGACACAAGAAATAGTAAATAGAGACCCCCCCAAAAGAAAAATAAAGATACAGGTCATTTTCTAATTGCCAAAAGAACCAATGATATAAGAAACATATGAAAAAGCAGCTCTGCTCATTTTAATCTATAATTATTCCTGTAGAAATAAATGAAAAAAAATACCTTTGTTTTGTAAACCCATTCAAGCTGTTCTTGAGTCACAAGCCTCAACTATGAGGAATTGAATCACCAACGTCACCACTAACACTGAAATTCATAATTTCATCCTTTCCAAGCTGTTTCTTTTTGCACAACTTTGGAGAGCTAAACTGCCTTTCGGCCTCTCCTTTACCACTTCTATTACACTGCCCATCGTCTGCTAGTCCATTTCCAGCAGCAACAGATTCCTGACGGGGAACTGAACTTCCAGCTGCAATTAAAGTATCAGCAGGTGCTTTTGATGCTGAACTAGAACAGTCTCCAGACAAATGCTTAGCATTAGCACTAGCACTATTGGAAGGTATGATCCATGCGAACTGTAAATTTTGCCCCTGCCAGCATTTACCACCTAGGAATGCTCTTTCAGCGGAATGCCGTGTAGTGAATGTTATATGGACAGAACAGTCTTTCGCCAACTTTGAGGCATCATTGTCAATTTGATCATCTTGCTCATCTAGATCAACAAAAGAGAGGTCCCCAAATGCTGCAAAGTGCTCCTTGAGCACAGTAGCCTAGAAAACACATGCATGCTAAATTCAGTGCACATGAACACTCCATTATTCATATAATAATTAGATTGGACAGTCAAGGATAATAAGACACCACCCATTTTCAGGAAACATTCAAAAAGAACAATCCTAAGAATGTCAAAAATTACCATTACTTTATAAACAACATTAAGTCGTCAGTGTTTCAAAAAGCGCTAGGCGGAACCTAGGTGGTTGGGGGGCCCCAGGCCGCCTAGCGCCTAGGCGAGTGCCTAGAACTCGGGCAGCCTAGTAGAAAAAAAAAAATAATTGGGTTTTCTCTCTCTAAAATAGCCTCTAATGGGTTTTAGGTTTCAAATGAACCACTTACCCAAAATAAAAAAGGTTTCAAATGAACTTAAAGCTCACAATTTTACCCCTTCAGTATTAAAAAAAAGACCCAAACATACCCTCAGGAAGCCACATTTCTGCCCCTGGGTAGGGCGCAGGCCCTGGGCGGCTGCCTAGGCGGGTTCAAGCGGACGCCCAAGGATATCTGCCTAGGTGTCCGCCCAAGCGCTGGGCGGTCCGCTTTTTGAAACTATGTAGGTCGTTATCTAGAAAGAGAAGAGGAAAATAATTCTTTCCCATAAAATGATTTATCGGTTGCCTATTGCCCTGAGTGTGAATCCATTACTGTAGGCAATGAAGCATGGCAAGAGATAGTTCAATATTCCATAAAGTGATGATGTAGTTCAATATTCCAAAAAGTCATGATGGTAAGGCAGGTCTATATGGAGATTGTTGAGAAGAAAAGCACAAGATGACATGAAAATTGAAGGAGAGGAGAGAAATTGAGTGAAGATAGAAGCTGAAGATGGCATGGAGATGAGACTGTAGCTACAGTCTAGAAAGCTAATTCTTTTGACCACATATCATGTACAAACTTATTATATTTTTCAATCTAATTAGAAGTAGACGAATATATACTCATGTTCTAACATGGAATATTTGCTTTATTTGATGTGCTCTAGCAATTAGATTACTCCAAGGCAAGATCCAGATCGACCCACAAGTCGAGGGCAAAGGAAGATGAAATACATGGTCAATGAGACAACCAAATGTTGAAGCACCCAATTGTCCTTGTGAAAAGCACAAAATGAATGAAAAGAGTTTAAAGTGGAAACCAATGTTACGGGACTCAGTTCAGCCAAAGTAACTCGCCTGAGTCCAACCCTAGTTAAAAAAATAAAAATAAAGACCAAAATATTAATATATACTAAATAACTTCCCATACTTTTACGTCAAACAGTTTATGGCCTATTGGTTATCTGAGCTGCCACTAGGCTGCCTCTCTACACGAAAGGTCTCGGGTTTGATCATTAAAGGTGCCCTTTTTTTAACTGTTTTTTTAACTCGTAAAAAAAAGTGCTAAGTTTAGAACAAGTTGAAGTGCTCGTGAGGGGAATCGAACCCTAAACATGATGACAAGGGAACATACATGGTACCTAACAAGCAGTTTGAAAGCACTTGAGTTAAAATAAACAAATTCATATGCATACCTTATACATACATGATGTACAAAAGACTCGGGAAAAAATCACGTCCAAAAACACTTGGTGAATACAATTCAAGGGTGGTGTCAAGCATTGTTTCAAAAACTGGCCCTCCTAACCCCTAGGAGGCTGCTCCACCCAGCCTAAGGGGCCAGAGTGCCATACCTAGGGAGCGCTGGGTGTCATGTCCCTGGGAAGGTCCCAAGGAAACCCTAACAGCGCGTAGGCAGGCTCTGAGCACTAACCTAGGTCACCCATGTCCAAGGGGTAAAATTGCCCACAGAAGAGGGTCATTTAGGTCATTTCTTTGGCTCTTTAAGGGAGAAAATAATGAGCGTGTGCTTTTCTCTCTCTCTCTCTCTCTCTCAAGCCCTACTAGGTATAAGTTCAACAGGGACCCGGGTCAGGTTGGGTCAAGAAATTAAAAAAAAAAAAATATACATATATTATAATTTGTAGTTAACGTACATTTATGTCTTATATATATCAAGTCGGGTGGGGATTGGGTTCACCCTAAACCAACCATATAGGGTCCAAGCTGGACCCAAACACGACTCAAGTCGTGCGAGGGTCAACTAGACCCAATCCCGACCTGTCAAGTCCATTGTTTGAGTCAAGACGCAAGCCCAATTCGATTGACCCATCAGGTCCACGACCCGACCTATTTCCCACCCCTGGTGGGTGGGGGGGAGGGTATTCTAACGTTCAAGGTTGATTCTAGGGATTCTAAAGGAAAAATAAACAAATAAAAAATTAGATTTGCCAAATTCTTTTGATCCATAAAAATTCAAGAAGTTTGAGATAAGTGAATGGACTTGTGGTCTTCCTGTATTTTAGCATTTGAGTACATTATGGTATTGGACCTTTATCTTTTTCTCTTTGTGATTATTAGTAAGTTTAATCTTAGATTTACTGATATATTACACTCGTGAATAATGTTTCGCAAAGCGGACCGCCCAGCGCCAGGGCAGCCGCTTATGGCATACCTTGGGCGCTCGCCTATGCGCCCAGGAACCCGCCTAGGCGGCCGCCCAGGGACTGCGCCTGCCCAGAGGCGGAAAACACACTCAGTAGGAGCTTTTTTTGTCATTTTCTTTTATATTAAGGGGCCAAAAATGATGTTTTTTGTTCATTTGAAACCTAAAACTCATTAGAGCCCATTTTAGACAGAGAGCCCCCAAAAAAGTAGTTTTTGATGATTTCTTTAGGATCGAAGGGTTTCTCAAAGTTATGAGTAATTGATCAAAACATCACCCATTTATATTAAATTTAATTTTTGATGTTTCATAAATCTATTGGGGGGTTTTTTAGAAGATTTTGACTCCTTTGAAGCATCTATAAGGTGGAAGTTTATTTTTTTTATTGCTTGTATAAGTTGTATTATTTTAAGATGTCTTCTTCGGGATCTAATAGGAGTGGCGATCCTGGCTGGAAATATACCTACAACCCAAATCCTAATGATAAAAATTGCATAAGATGCAAGTTTTGTGAGAATGATATAAAAGGGGTTATAAACAGGTTCAAGAAACATCTTGCCGGTATCAGGGGGACAGTGCCCCATGTAAAAAGACTTTTGATGCTTTTAAAGAGGAAACAACCAATTTTTTGACTTGTTTAAAATGAAAAAAGACGAGAGATTTGCCTCCATAGCAAAGATTAGGTTTGGGCTTCGAGTCAGTTATGATGATGATGATAGACATGAAGATGGGGAGGGATGTCAAGAGGTAGAACAATCCATTATTAGGGGAAAGGGAAAGGGAATTATAATTGCTTATGGTTTTGGTTCTACGAGTAAGAAGCCTCGGGTTAGAAGCCCTATGGATAGTTTTTTGCCTCGGCCTGACCCTGAGGTTGCAGGAGAGAAAACAAAGAAGCAAACCACCATTGAAAATAGAATGAAGAAGGAAGAGAGAGATAGAGCTGCTTTTTATATCGCAACATGGTTTTATGAGGCGAACATTCGTTTCAATATCGCTCACCTAAGCAGCTTCTATGTCTTGGTAGAGGCAATTGGCCAATTTGGGCCTAGGATGAAACCCTCAACCCCATATGAGCTTTTGAAAAAAGCGATGAGTGTCACAAAGGATGTTGTAGAAGTTAAGAAGGATGCATGAGCCCAGTGTGGAGTTTCTATTATGACTGATGCTTGGAGTGATAGGAAGAAAAGTTAGTTGAATTTGCTTGTGAATTGTCCTTTAGGGACTATTTTTTTGAGGTCTATTGATATGCCTCTAATCATATCCATAGTGCCCATTACATATTCCAAGTTATAAAGAAGGGAATCAAGGAGGTTGGGGAGCATCTTGTTGTATAGGTTGTCACAGACAACGCTGCTCCTAATGTTGTTGCAGCTAATTTGTTGCGCATAGCTTATCCTAGAATCTTTTGGACACCATGTGCAGCACATTGTATATACCTCATGCTTGAGGTTCTTAGCGGTTTAACCGAGATATCAGGTGCAGTGAAGAAGGCAAAGTCAGTTACAAATTTCATTAATAGCCACCATCTCACCCTCAGCATGATGCGTAGATTTACAAAGAAGAAAGAGAATGTGAGGCCTCGGGTCACGAGATTTGCGACCTGGTACTTATGCCTAAATAGCATAAATTCGAGGAGAGTACAGTTGAGGTAAATGTTTACCTCAGATGACTGGAGAGCATGCAATTGGTCCAAGGATCAGGTTGGGAAGAAGGTGAGAGATATTATCCTTTCTAAAGTTTTTTGGCGAGGGGTGAAAGGCACTCTTAAGGTATTTTTTCCTCTTGTCAAAATCCTTCGCATGGTTGATAGTAACAAGGCTTCTATAGGCTATATATATGAGGCTATGGAGAAATGCAAAAGAGAGATAGCCCAAAATTTTGAAGATGTGAGAACCGCTACAAGCAATTTGGGAGATTATTGATGAGAAGTGAGATAAGCAACTACATTGGCCATTGCATGCAGCTGGTTATTATTTAGACCTAGCTTTTTTTTATGTTGACAAGGATATACACACAAATGACACAATTATGACTGGATTTAAGAAGTGAGTAGTGACAGTCCATGATCTTGATATCCAGGTTATTATATGTGTTGATGAGTAAATAAATTACAAGTGCTCATTAAAGCCTTTTGGGAGTACAATGGCGATGAAGCAAAGGACCAAAATTGATCTAGGTAGTAATAATATTCTTAAGATCATTAAGTTCAAGTAATCAAGTTTCATTTTTACAATTCTATTATTTATTTATGACTTTATTCTATATCTTTGCAACCAATTGGTGGAGCCAACATAGGTGTAGTTCTCCAAATCTACAAAAATTGGCCATTCGGATCTTAATCCTAAACACTTCCTCATCCGGTTGTGAACGCAATTGGAGTACTTTTGAAAGGGTAAGGTTGTAAGGGTAATTTGTATAATTGTATTAATAACATATGAATCATAGATATTAATTAGTTTCATTTGATTTTGTTAGATTCATACAAAGAAAATGTATAGGCTTGAATCAAAGAGACTCAATGACCTAGTCTATATCAAGTATAATCGATTCTTGAAGGACAGGTTTGCTAAGAGAGATAAGAGAAACCCCATCAGATCAAAAAATATGGACAATGCTCTGAAGTGGTTAGTTGATGATGATGAAGTTGAGAGGCATGAAGAATTGACATGGGACATGGGACATGGTCATGGATGTTTCAGGGACATCAGCCAACCCTCCTAGGGCCACTAGATCTTCTGCACAGAGGACGAGGGTAGAGGAAGAGGAGGAAAAAGAGGCAGATTCAGAAGAGATAGAGGAGGACGACTCCAATGAATATGATGCAAATGCGGCTGACCCTACTTTTTATGATGATGAATGATGAATAATGATTAAACTTTGAACATTGATTGAAGATTCTTTTGAGTCTTCAAGTATTACTTTCATTTTTATTTTCTTCCTCATGGTTGTGTATTGTGGATAGTGGATTTGTAGTTTCACTGGTTTGGTATTTGGTAACTTTGGTTTGGTAATTTGTTGGTAAATTTTAAGTTTTAATTGGATATAGACCGACTTATGGTTATGCTTATGGAGTGTGTGCTAATGTGTACTATACTTTGAATTCTGAGGTGCCCTAAATACATAATTTTTATATTTTATACAATATATACATTGTTAGAGACTATAGAATCCTTTTTGGATTCAATTGGGCCCCCCCAGTTCTGGGCGCCCGCCTAGGCATTGGGCGGCCTGGACCCCCAAGCCGCCTAAGACCCGCCTAGCGCTTTGTGAAACACTGATTGTGAAATGTCATTCATTAATTTCAAAATGTTTTGGGAGCATATAGACATACACATATAATATGTATGTATAATTATATATGTTTAGAATACATACATACATATCCATATGTATGCAAATGTATGCAAAAGCTATTCATATACATGAATAAACTTGTGTTTGGAGTGCACCTATATGCATACGTATGTATCTAGGGCACCTTGAAACCACGGAACCCGCCTAGGTAGCCAAATAACCCCCAGCTAATAGGTTAACTGGGTTTTGTTTATGTTTATCAGATGGAAACTCAATGTTTTCAAATTTGTGAACATAAACGGCTTTAGTAGCATAAGAGTTGTCATAGAGAATTCTGTATGATGTGGGACTTCCACAAAATGCTCTTTAAATATCTGTAAAAATAAAATAAAATTGAAAATCGGAGGGGACATCTTTGAAGCTACAATGTCTTTCAAAATTTACGAGGTATATATTCTGGTAAGTCAATTCTAATGCTTACTATTTATCCTACAAGAACAGTAGAGTAAATTAATATGCTAAAAGGAAATGGACATAAAGTAAACATCAAGAAAGTAACTTACATTGGCAAGACCAGTGGGTAGAGGAGGAAGTATTTTGAATGCAGTAGGGCGGTTGTCCAATTTATACCGATTAATGAGAAATGGAGAACTGACTGAAGGTGCCAGGCGAGATGGCTGTTTTGAACCTTTTGGAGAAGCTTGTGGCCCCATATGTTCTTTCAAGCTTTTTGCGGAAACACTATCCCCAGAATTGCCCTTTGCCACTACTGATTCAGTACCTGGACTATGGTTAGATACCTGGGTAGGATTAGAAGTACAAGATACTGCAGATACAGTCTCTGTTTTCTGTCTTTTACCAACATGATCAGTAGCTGTTTCTCCCTTAACAGCTAGCCCCTGAAAGAAAACCGATGTCCAGAGAATCAAAAAGGAGATATAAAACTCTCAATTGTTAAAAGATCTAAAAGACCACCAAAACTAGAAACACAATCTAATTTGATTAGCACTTTAACACAAACCATGAAAAAATAAGGGGGCAAAAAAAGATAATTCACTTTGTAAACACGGGCCCCAATTTCTATTTACAAAATCATTCCACCATTTTTCACAAGAAAATACTTTAACCACTTTTGAAGTGGACATAACATTACTGACTGACAATAGCAGAAAAGCCACATTCTTTTGATTGCCATTAAAACCTTTGAATCAACCAAAGTTTAATTTATCATTTAAAGAAAAGAAAAGTACACCAGTTCTTACTTGTTTTTCAAGTTTATCCAGCTGTTTACGAAAGTCACTACGCTTTTGGGCCAACATTTCCTGCTTTATTCTCAGCTCTTCCTTCAAGTGCTCCAGGGTCTCCAGCTTCTTCTGTGATGGAGGTAAGGGTTTGGAGTCTTTCACCACGAAGTTTTTCAGGGGAACAGCACTGGTAGAGGATGTATCAGAAGGTGGTGCACTACTGATCTTTGTAACCACAGATGTAATCTTTTCCTTTCCCTTCTCAGAAAACAATCGCTGAGATGGAACACTGGCAGCCACAATATTAGGTGGTGCAGCAGCAAAACTACTACCTCCTTCCACAGGAACAATATCCCAGTTAGCCCACCATAGCTTGATAAAGCGGTTACCCATCACCGCATCAGGAGCCTTAAGGGCAGTCTCCGCATCTTCCCTTTTTGAGAACTGGATAAAGGCCCTCTCGCCATTAGGTGGGATATAGATGTCAATGACCTCACCAAATTTCTTAAAATGGGAAAGAAGAGCCTCTTTCTTGTTGCTATTCTGGGGTATACAATTCACAAACAAAGTACGCTGAGCTTTTTCAGACCCTTTCCCATGTGATGGGAGAGGGCGCCCATTGATAGATCGTCGCACCGAGCTACCCATCAAATTTGTGGATTTGTGTTCACTATCCTCAGCAACAGTTCCAAAATTCCGCTTGACATGATGGAAAGGCCTTTGGACATCCATCATATGGACCTCTGGTTCCCCATTTGCTTCGGTGGCATGATAAGCTCGGTCATTCGATGTGGTGTCACTCTTACTCAACCCATCTGGTTTGTGACTAATCCGACCCCATACAGATGAAACCGAGTTGTGAGCCCCAACTGCCATGCTTCTACCTGACTTCTCAATGTCAATATCATCAGATAACCTCGAAGTAGGACGATCAGAGAATTCGGAATCCCATGGAGGCTCAGTATGATGCACCTTAGGTGAAGAAAGCTTCAGAAGCCCACTTGAAGTTTCCGGATGGTCATTATTCCACAATGGCTGGTCAGGATCATATAAGTCAGCTTCATTATGAGCTGAAGATGACAGGACCCCATTTAATCTCAACCCTTCATCACTCGGACTGTATTTGCTGCTTTTGTTAAGAAAGCCTTTGCCATTCATCGCCACGGTAGAAGAGGCAGTGACTGTAGGTAGAGTACTTGCTGTAGCACTCATCCCGACAAATCTTGCACTTGAAATTGAAACAGGAAGATTGAACTGCGAAAGGCTCTGGCATTTAAAAGATTTCTGAAAAATAAGCAAAAATTTCTGAAAACAACACTTACTCCTAGAAATCAATAAAAGTAAAAATCCTCACTCATTTACACTAAAGGATATGGTAGGCACCTAAAAAATCATATTTTTGCAGAATGCTTCGCAACTAAAACAATAAGGCAGTAGGACACAGCCGAAACAAAGTGCATCAAGCATAATTACATAAGCAAGCAATTATATGAAAGGCGCATGTACAAAAGCCAACCCCAAATAATTGGGATGAGGCTTCGATGATGATAATGATGATGATGATGATGATGTACAAAAAAGCACATCCCAGTTATAATTTGGACTTGGACGAGACTCCCATAAGAACCCCAATGCTCAATGACCAAAAATCATTAAAAAGAAAACTGATCCTTGTTGACTTAAAAGCTTCTTTTTTTTTAATTTGTCATCAATTTACATCATTGACACTGCCTGACGGTCATTGAGCATTGTGGCATTGCCCATATTTACAAGCTAGAATTGTGCCATCCATCAAAGGAAGTATGTAACAATAAAGTTATACCACGAACTATGAAGAATCACGAACAAACCTGAACATCTTCAACGACAATACGATTTACACCATGCTCCATTGGGCACATGTCCCCCCGCAGACAAAAACCACGTTCCTCAAAATCCCTACAACGAGGCCTAGCAATGCCAATACTTAATGAAGAATTCAAGGGTGGTTGTATTGCTCCTTGCAAACCCGAATGCATATTATGGAGTGCGTCTAGACCCCCTGCAGGCATTCCATGCATCAAGCCGAACGCACCCCAAGACGGGCTTGTTGTGTTGGCAGCATTAGATAGTCCCCTTCCAGCAAATAGAGATGTGGGTTTTGGTACTTGAGGAACTAATGGTGATGCAAAATCAAGAGCATCCACAGGATTGAATCTAGATTCATGTGGAGCCCAGGACCCTATACCCCTTCCTCTTCCTCTGCCAATTGGTGAGTGACCCAACGAAGTTGACAAATCAAAGTATGTTTGGCTACCTCTTGCCCTCTGACATACATCCAAAGGAGGCCGAGGAAATGGGATGGGCCCAAGACGTCGTTTTCCAGAGAGGTCCCTCTCTGAATTTGTAAATTCCTTTCGAGTTGCACCGGACAGAGGTTCAGACTCCAGCAAGGGTGGTCCATTTTCAAATGGCTTGCCCCGATTCTTGTTCAGTCTCCTTAGGAAAGGTTCATGAGCTTCTCTCTCAAAGGACTGGGATCGTGTCTCCCTCCTCCGATGCTTATGGTTGCGATCGTCATCTTCATCATCACTGATCTCTTTCTCTTCAGAATCACTATCATGGGCAGCAGAACTGGAGACTCGATCAGGCTTTGGTGATGAGCTTCTCAGTTCACCAGGATCTGCACTAATAACAGCAGGGGATAATTCCACTTGGCTGATAGTATTCACACTCTCAGCTGGCATTAAGATGGTACCATCCTCTAGAGCTTGAAACAATTTGGAAATAAAGGGCATTGTATCTGCATGTAAACGTATCAAAAGGAATCAGAAGGTAGAAAATTTAAAATCAGAAAAAGCACTACTGACAACAGAATACAAGATACTTAAGACCAGAAGCAGCACAACTCAGATCCAGAATCTAAGATTATCCAGAAGATTATCCAGATCTAGTACCACACAAAACTAGATTACTGTTTACAACCAACAATTGTTAGAGACATAGAATTAGCCTTTAATGCAAATTAATTATCAAAATAGAATAGCCTTTGCTGTACTGGACAGTCATTCATCCAGACATTCTTACGATCAGGAAAACAACAATCACACACACAAACAACAACTACAGGAACTGAGTAAAGCACCTTTCTTGACTTCAAGTGAGTAGCATATCCCTTCACCACCTAATGATGAAAGTATCTCAACTTTTAGCAAGAAATAATAACTCTCTCGGCAGATCTTTCAGAAAATATTTAAACTCCAATCCTCAGAAGGGCACATTAATATTGTGAACATTTTAATATCTTGAAAATAACATTCTAATTTTGATGGGGTTTCTATGAATCAGCCGACTCATACTGTACATATGAGGGCCGGGCTCCCACTTAAACCCATCTTAAACATGGATTTTTAATCCAAAATTTTTGGGATTCATGATCAGGGTTAAGATCATCATGAATATGGAAAAAATAAAATAAATTTTTCAAAACTGAAAATGTGATTTTTTAAGGAAAATTTGTACACAGACTAAATTCATTTTAGCCCCATGGGTTTTTTACAAAGTCTGTCCTAGAGATGGACATCAGTGAGTCAGCGGGCTCTTGCACCCGCTGACTCACGAATAACTTTTCCTTCTACTATTAATGATCCAAGTACAATTTAGTTTGTTCTTAGAAATACAAAGTTCAAACTGTTAACTACAAATAGGGAAGACATTCCCGCCCTTGAAACTCCAAACCTGAAGTCAGTGTCACTAGTACTTTCTTCATGGACGAGGCACATCCAAGAAAGCAGAGGGAGGCCCCTTAAGGGCCAGAGGACAACAGAAATCCACCCCACAAAAGCCTCGTCAGCACTCCCTGGCCCTTTACGGACCCCAAGGTGTAAATAGTTCCTTGGTAGAAGGCATTATGGGCAAGAAACATCAGACCTCATATCCAATTCCACTTGGGGATACTTTTCAGGAAAAAGTAATTGAAAATTTTCAGTTTCGAAATATCATAGGTACAAAGATCCAGTGAATTCTGTGAGTCCCAAGGCTATGCTGCAATCCACATTTTTGGCAATCCAACTTACATGCAAAATGGGACTCACTCACAATGTTACTCCTACAGTCACACTTCAGTAGTATAATAATCAAGTACAGCCATTCATTTCTATCACTAAATTAACATATATCCAGTAGCATTTACATAAAATGCTTTTCATTGTTCAACATGTATTATAATAAACATGTATAAACAATATTATTACCCTTTCTCCAAAATGCTACAAAATATACTTACTCTTTTTTGTTTTCATCTCACCTTGAACTTCAAGCTATCATCAGGAATATCGAATGGCTTACGCACACAGGGCCCCCCACTGCCAAGGCACCACAGGATACTTTTCAATACACTATGTCCAAGGAACAAGAAATACATGGAACCTCCTCAAGCACTTCTTTCCATCTACAAGTTGTAGGGGTAGGCCAACACAGCCATGAAATCATGTATTATAAGTCACCTAGCCACAAGATATATTCAATCCAATCACAAGACACCTACCTGTAGTCTTCATGGAATATGTGGCCCCCTTCAAAACTACACCAAGATCATCTATAGCTAAATCCTATACTCAAGTTCAGGTTTTCCATTGAACACAATTCAAAATTAAGTCTCGGACTCCTGATCACACCTCTAGAACATAGGAGGAGCTTTGTTGCCTATACATTCATCACCGACTTACCATATGGATCCTCAACTCCTTTCTTTTCCTTTTCTTTAAATAAGTAATTAAGTTGTATTGATGTTGTAAAAATGTACAATTTGATAGGCCAACACAGCCATGAAATCATGTATTATAAGTCACCTAGCCACAAGATATATTCAATCCAATCACAAGACACTTACCTGTACGCTTCATGGAATATGTGGCCCCCTCCAAAACTACACCAAGATCATCTCTAGCTAAATCCTATACTCAAGTTCAGGTTTTCCATTGAACACAAATCAAAATTAAGTCTCGGACTCCTGATCACACCCTCTAGAACATAGGAGGAGCTTTGTTGCCTATACATTCATCACCGACATTACCATATGGATCCTCAACTCCTTTCTTTTCCTTTTCTTTAAATAAGTAATTAAGTTGTATTGACGTTGTAAAAATGTACAATTTGATTGGTGTGAAAAAAAACACTACTGATAATAGGTAACCGCAAAATGGATACAAAAATGGTTACTAACAGTAACTAGGGTGGGACTAAGGCCATACAAAACTTGGCGAGTTATTTAAACAGATGACGGCTTTTGCAGTGTCAATGGTAGAGGGGAGAGAAGCCCTTGCACAGCCCAGGGAATCTGCCTCGTAATTTGCTTCATGTCAAGTGTGTTGAAATGACAACAGTATTCCTTCGCAATGATGGAAAATTTGCTTGAAGATGCCAAATATCCTGAGGCACGGGGCACCTTTACAGGCCCATTCAAGGACATTGAGGGAGTCTACCTCAATGAGCATCGAAGACCCCTGTTCTCTGTTATACAGCGATAGGCCGTGAAGAAGTGTCAAAGACTAAGCAAGTAAAGCATCCTCACTGGGGATGGGACCTGAGAAAGACAAAAGAGAATCCTGCATTATAGGCTTGAAATAGGCCACAATGCCAGCAGGGCCAGGAATCCCACGGGCACTGCCATCGAAATTTAATTTAATGACTCCAATAGACGGGGGAAACATGCCGATGACCTGGAAATGGTAAAAGATGTCACGAGGATGACATTGCACCAATTGGCAAGGAATTTGAGCTTCACTAGCAGTTCAAGAGTTCGTTTGATGACCCCAACATATAACAGTTGATAGGATCCTTTGGATGATGGTAGATAGGAGATGTTCGGCGCTTGAAGATCCTACAGTTCCTTTTAAGCTATGTGAACCAAATGATCACCTGGACAGCGAGCTGCCAAAAAAGTCTACTGAAAGCTAGCAGGGGGAAAGCATTGTACTGTTTGTAAAGGTCTTCCACCGAATGGGGATGGTAGGGGTGGAGGCCAGGAGTGGTAATAATGTGACAAATAATGGCTGATTGGGGGAACGGCAGAAAGAGGTGGGGGGTTTGATTCCCCTTCGGTACTACACATGGCACATCTATTGGCTAGAGGGAAGTCTCATTTCTTAATCTTGTCTGCCAATAGAAATCCGTCAAAATGGCAAGCCAAGAGAAAGCTTGCAACTTGGGTGGGGCCAGGCGGGGGCCAAGGGGAGCCACGCTCTGTTTGCAATCACTGGATTGGAGGTGCAGTTGTGAGGGTCTTGAAAAAAGAAGAGACTGAGAAAGAGTCATTAAAGGATGCGCCCAAACTAGTCTATCGGCACCTGAAACAAGTAAGAACAAAACCTCTATCTAGCTGGGAGGCCTCAGTCTCCATAAGGTATCGGCATAGGAGAGGTCTTCAAGTTCAGACCGTATTCCTTCCACTTAAGAACCATGGTTGGCTATTGAAGCGTCACTGTCTACAACAGTATTGTAGAGGGTGTTAGGGCAGAGACTGGACACTTGATGTACACAACTTCAAAATGTTACACAATGGACTCAACTACACCCTTTCAAATACCACATTATAGTAAAAGTACAGCAGACAACCCACAACTTTTCTGATAACTCAAAATGAAGACCATAACACCTCTATGAAGCCCAACCATCAATTTCCATTGAATTAGACAATGAGAGATTAATTGGCTACAACTCAATACACACTTATACAAAATTGAGCAATATAGTACATTGAATCAATAACATCAAACACTTAGATACTTGAACAAAACCATTCCAGTCCAATCTCTTCAACTCATAAACATACATGGAACAAAAAATCATGACCTATAGGGAAGCCAATTTTACCTCAATTTGCCCGGGATCACCTCCATGGGACTTCATAAACCCCAAACCGCATCTCCTCCTAGATAGAGTGGGTGACAAAAGCCCAGCATAGCCTATCTCCAAGTGGGAAGCCAAGAAGAACCTACCCAAATCTCACTTAGGCCACCAAAGGGGGCTGAAATTAAGTTGATCTGGGCAGCGTACGGTTCACACATGGGGTGTGGAAGAATTGATGCAAAACAGTGCCCAATAACACTATGTGGGAGATTATATCAGTGCAAAGTGAAGGCTTGGGGAAATGAATAAAATGGGCATGAGACAGAGCTATTACCTTGCTCTAATTTGTTTGAGATGATAGGTTTCAGTCAACTTTGAAATGCCATGGAGTTCCTTAAATGGCGGCAGGCGTAGGGAGAAAGTGTGGTGCATTGTATGGTGAAGAAGCAAGAAGATGGACTAGGCTTACACACCAAGGACCGTGGAAGGATCTCTCTCTTTCTCTCTCTAGGTGGGGCATGGAAGGCTATAGGGCTCTTGCTCTCACTCAATTCGGGCAGCATAACATTGCATTAAGAAGTGTCCAAAAAGGGAGATGAGAACCCCTATTTTATAGCGTGAGATTAGGATTTCATGTGCGGGTAGAAGGTTCTTCTCAATAAGGTGCAATATGGGCCCTTGATTTAGGAAATCTATAGAGTGAGAAAGGCATCAATCCAAGCCAATCATCCTTAACAAGCTATCATAGATTAAGGGATGAGATTTGATCACCACTATTCCCTTGGCCAATCCATACCTAAATTCTCTGTAATGTATTTGGTTCATATCACATCTAGGTTAACTAATCCATAAATTTAACATAAATTAAATCCAATCAATTGCCAAGATCACTCATGAGATATTTGGTTGATTTAGGAGAGGGATGGACTCATTAGGTAGGGTGTACCATATAGA